AGGCTGGCTTCAAACCATGATCCTCCTGATCTCTGCTTCCTAAATAGGTAGGATTACAGGCATGAGCCACCAGCACTGGGCTGGATTCTGATAGTTTTATTTGCTAAATTGGGCAGCCCAACCTTGGGGTAGTTTGGAGAACTACAGAGGGAGGATGTTCCAGGTGTAGGGAGCAGGACATGTCGAGGTATACAGTAGAGAAAGAAGAGCTTGAAATGCCATAAGCTTCTACTCATGCCTTGAGCCAGGTAGGAGATGCCAGGGTGTGGGGGTCCAGTTCCTCCATTATTATTTTGTGCCTATTAAGTACCATTCAGCAAGTTACACATGACCCTGCCTATGAAAGCTCATTGTTAGGCTGGGGTGTGCTAGCACATACAAGGCCTTGGGTTCCATCCCCATCACTGCAAGTACTGCAAGCCCATTGTCCTGGAAGGAGAGACAGATCTACACAACATATTCAAGGAAATGGCAGGTAGGGCTGCCTAAGCACACAAAGGAGCTAGGCAGTGCCAGGTGCTGGAGACAGATGTCATGAGGCTGCTTTGTCAGGTCTCCAAAGGACCCTGCTCTTCCCCATCACAGTACCTAGGCCTATGCTCTTCTCTCTGCCTGGTCCTCTTTCCCTCCTGCCCTCCCTCATCAGTTACTTCTCATCCTTTAGGTCACATCAGAATTCCCCGTGACCTCCTCACTAGGTCAGATCCCACTACTAAATCCATGTAGAGATCCTCCACCTACATGTGGGTCCCCCACTGGACAGGGAGCCCCTCTGGGCAGGGGCCATATCTATTTTTTCATCTCTTTTTCTTCCTTGTATTTATGCTGAGCACTTAATGCATCAAAAATGAATCTGAATATTTGTTAAATGAATGTGTGAATGAAGTTTGAGGCTAAGCAACAGTGCTGCAGGAACCAGGCAGGTCACATAAACGAAATAAACAAAAGTGAGTTGTGGTTGCCCTCTCTAGAAGGGGTATGGCCACTGAGCTACAGCAATGTAGACCTGGGGAAGAGGAGGTTTCATATTTAAAGTGCACTCTAGCCAGGCTGCTGGTGGCTCATGCCTGTAATCCTAGCTACTCAGGTGGCAGAGATCGGGAAGATTGCAGTTCAGGCCAGCATGGGCAAATAGTTTGAGAAACCCTCTCTTGAAAACCCATCACAAAAAGGCTGGTGGAGTGGCTCAAGGTGTAACACTTGAATTCAACCCCAGTACTGCAAAATAAATAAAGTGCAGTCTGTGGCTATACCACCTGGATTTAACATAGCAGGACCAGTTTCATTTGTCCTAAAATCTGAATTATTTTTTAGTAAACCTTATTTTATGTAATTTATTTTATTGCTGGATGTTCACATCTGTAGTCCTAACATTCAGAAGGCTAAGGCAGGATGATTAGGAATTGAATTTCAGCAAAGCCTGGGTTGCATAGTGAGACCTTGTCTCAAAATGAAAATAAGTAAGTCCATGGGTGCGGGTGGCTCATCCCTGTAATCCCAGCTACTCAGGAGGCAGAGACCAGGAGGATACTGGTTCGAAGCCAGCCCAGGCAAATAGTTCATGAGACCCTATCTCAAAAAAAAACAAAACAAAAAACAAAAACCCATCTCAAAAAAGGGCTGGTGGAGTGAATCAAGGTATAGGCCCTGAGTTCAAGCCCCACTACCACTAAATAAATAAAAAATTAGTAAATAAATAAATGACTTTTAGATTTACAAAGAAAAAAAAGAGGAGATGGAACTGAGAATTCCTGCATAGCTCCTCTCAGCTTCCCCGTTATGATTATTTTATTGTATTTTTTGCAGTGCTGGAAATGGAGCCCAGCACTAGGCAAACTCTCTGCCCCCAACCTACATCCCCAGCCCAGTTTCCCTATTATTAACGTGTTAGTATGGCACTTTTATCACAAGTGACGAGCCAATATTTGTACGGTGCTGTTAGTGCCAGAGTCCCTTAGTTTTACCTAACATCTCTACCCATGCAGTATGCCACATGACATGGTCACAATGACTCCTTGGGCTTCTCTTGAGGTGTCGGTTTCTCAGACGCCCCCCCTCCACCTTTTATTTTGTTTTGTTTTTTGGCGGTACTGGGGTTTAAACTCAGGGCAGGCTCTCTACCACTTGAGCCACCCCTCCAGCCCTCTTCTGTGTGGAATATTTTTGAGATAGGGTCTCAAGAACTATTTGCTTAGGCTTCCAACTGTGATCTTCCTGATCTCTGCCTCCTAAATAGCTACGATTACAGGCATGAACCACCAGCGCCCAGCTCTTCCCTTCTTTCTTGACATCCTGGACGGTTTTGAGAAGTGAGGCCAGGCATTTCGTAGATTGCCCTTCTATGAGATATGTCTAATGTTTTTCTCATGATCAGACTGGGCGATGGGCTATGGAAGGCCAGAGAGGTGCCATACTATTCCCATTGCCTCTATGAGGATGTACACCACCACCATGACTTGGCACCAGTGATGCTGACCCTGATCCTGCCAGTGTTACTGTCCTGCACTCCCTCTCCACACTGAACTCTTGGGAAGGAAGTTGCTGTGTACACACCCCCACTGAGGAGTAAGTAGTTTTGTTCCACCTCCTTGACAGGGGAGTGGCTTGGAATTCTTCTGCATGGGAAATCTGTCACTTCCCTCCCTCTGATTTATTTACTCTGTCATTTATGCCAGTATGGACTCATGTTACACTTTAGGTTATAATGCTGCTCAAATGGTGCCAGTCTTGACCATTGCGAGTTCTGTTACTCTTTTAGTTGGTTCCTATACCCCTTTCTCTCTCTCTCTCTCTCTTTCTCCCTTCTTTCTTTCCTTCCTTCCCCCTCCCCATTCATTCTTCTATCTTTCTAGAGACAGAGAATTGCTATGTAGTCCAGGTTGGCCTTGAACTCGCATCCTGGGGATTGAATTCAGTGCCTGTACCTTGAGCCACTCCACCAGCCCTTTTTTGTGATGGGTTTCTTCAAGATAGGCTCTCACGGAACTATTTGCCTGGGCTGGCTTTGAACCACAATCCTTCTGATCTCTGCCGCCTGAGTAACTAGGATTACAGATGTGAGCCATCTGCACCAACTCTGCCTCTGTTCTTGAGACCCCATCTCAACCAACAAAAAGCTGGGTGTGGTGGTATGTGCCTGTCATCTCAGCTACTGAAGGAAGCATAAGTAGGAGGATGTTGATTCAGGCTAGCCTGGAAATAAAAGCAAGACCCTGTTTGAAAAATACCCAAAACAGAAAGGGCTGGCAGCATGGCTCAAGTGGTAGAGCTGCCTGCCTAGCAAGCAGAAGGTCCTCGGTTCATACCCGAGTACTGCCAAAAAACTCAACCAAACAAAAAGATTGGGGGTTGAAAGATGGTTGTTGACAATTTGAAGCACTGGTGCCCACGCAGGCAGGGCAGGTCTTTGGTGGCTTCCAGGCTGCTGCCTGTGGACAGCGGTCTTTCCTTCTTCGTTACAAGAAGAAACGCCAGAGTCAATGTTGCCAATGATAAGACTTTTCAAGAGATGAATCTGTGTTGAGGAATTAGCTTATTTGGGGTTGGCAGAGTGGCGCAAGCGGTAAGAGAGCCTATCTGGCAAGTGTTCAACCTCCCTCCAAAAAAAACCCCAAAACCAATTAGCATATTTGAAGCCAGGTATGGTAGCCCAGGCCTATAATCCCAGTACTCAAGAGAAAGAGGCAGAAGAATCATGGGTTCAAAACCAGCCTAGGTTTCATGTAAGACCCTGACTCAAAACAAAGAGACACAAATGTAAACCCCAAAACAAAAAAGAATTAACTCACTAATGAAGAAATTGAGATGTTAAAACTAGTTCCAAGGAGAATCCAAGGAATGGTTTTATAGATGCAGAATATTAAAATGAATATTCAAATGGAGGCAGAACTCTTTTTTTTTTGCAGTACTGGGGTTTGAACTCAAGGCCTCACACTTACTAGGTAGACACTCTACCACTTGAGCCATTCCACCAGCCCTGCAAATCTCCTTTTAAACATCAATGTGTATTTGGGGTAGCAATGGGTCTAAACTCCCTAGTTACCTCTTAATTCCTTTCGTACTTCACATGTCCATTCTACAAGACTTCCTGGTACTGGTGCACCAGGCACTATTCAGTGTGCTGGAGGCACAGAACTGTTCAAATTAAAGTCCCTGAAGATATTAATTGAGAGAAACAGGTAAAGGATTGTAGGAAGGAGGAGTGTTTCCACAGAAAATTGTGCTGTGTGTAGACTGCCCTACCAGGTTCTAGTCTTAAATTGCAGTAGTCCAACAATGCAATAGATGGCTGATAGCAATGTAAAATAATTCTGCCCACTGGTGGAAGCCAGTTTTGTGCTCACTTGCATATTTGTTTCAGTAGTCTCTCATACCATATAAATTTGCCCTTCTTTGATTTTCTGTGGGTAGATAACATCTGCCTGGTTCCCTATTTACTTAAAGAAAACGTTTAACATGTTCATTTTGTAGTGTGTGAGAGTCATGACCTGCTTTTTAGGGGAAGTATCCTTTCACAAAATAAACAAGCGTGTGAAAAGTCAATGGCCTACTGTGTTATGGAGAAAATAAAAGCAAGAAGCTGGACCACCCAGAAAGGGTGGTCTGGGTAGACCCTCCAGGACTAAAGATGCTAAAAGAATGATAATCTGAAATTCAAATTCAACCGGGCCTCCTGAATTTTATCTGGAATCTCTACTTGTGAAGGAAGAGGGGGAGGGGGTCGCAGGCCTTGCCGGGTTAACGTGATCGATGACCTTGCGAGTGCTCTAGGACGAGGAGACACAGAATCTTGAGCTCAGTTCCCCAGTCTGAGGCGTCACGGAGGCGGGGCCTGAGGGGGCGTGGCCACACCGGGCCCTTGGAGCCGAAGTGGGCGGGACCACCACGGCCCCGCCCTCGTCACGTGCAGACTGGCGCCTGCCGCGTCGGCAACCCTGGAGCGCGCCAGGCGGCGGCGGTAGCTGCAGGACTTGACTGGCTGTGGCAGGAATAGAGGGGCTGGACGGATGGCGACGGCAGCTGTGGCGGCGGGGAGCGGGGCCGCGGCGGGGACCGAGTCGGCAGAGGGCCCCCCGGGACCGGCGGCGGCGCTGGAGCTGTGGCTCAGTGAGTAGCTTGGCCGCCCCTCGGCGCGGGGCCCCTCCACACGTGAGGCCCTTTCTTCTGCAGCGGCGGCGGCGGGGAAGGCGGGCGGCGGGCATCGGGTCGGGCCCTGTCGGGGATCGTCACCCCGGGACCCGCGTGGGCTTCCCGGTCCCCACCAACCATCGCACTTCTCGGTGGCAGCTCCATTGCTAACGCTTGTTGAGCCCTTCTGTGCCCAGCACGGTGCAGAGCGCGTGTCAGCCATTGTTAGTCCTCTTTGCGACCCCAAGAGACCGCTGCAGTGGTGAACCCTGTCTGAGGGGCGGGGACACTGAGGCTGGAGGACACGGAGTCTGCAGGAGTCGTAGCCTCTAGTAGTCTGTCGGGGCCGAGATCTCTATCTGGTGCTGCCTTAAGGTGAAAACAACCTCTGTGCCTTTTGTGCCTGTTTACTCGGGCCGCACTGTTTGTGTACGTCGTCTCCTGTGAGCTTCGCTGTGGCCTTGCGGAGTGGCGTTCTTATTGTGCCCGTTTTACCCACGAGGCTCAAGGGGGATGAAGAATGCGTTCCTCCTAGCGAGCCCTGCTAGGTGCTGGGGCACTACATGCATAGCCCAGGGTCGTTGGTCCCAAAGACATTTTTATGGGGTACTGGCCGACCCTAACAGCGCCTGGTTCTCCGGAGCGGGGGGGAGGGGTGTTTGTTCTGCGCTGTTGGAGTTGGTTTGTTTACTTAGGGGTTGTCACTGCTGATAGCGGGTTTGAGCGGACCCTGGAGGCGACCACATTCCAGGCAGAGGAAACTGCGTGTGCAAAAGCTGAGGAGGACAGGAGAACATGCAGCATTCTGGGAACAAGTAGGCCAGTGGGCTGGAGTGCAAAGCCTAGAGGCAGAGCATCTGGAGAGCAGGCTGTGTGCTAATTGGGGTGTGATCCTCAAGAGTCACAGAAGGCTGCAGAAGGGAGTTTGTATTTTAACCAGTGGGAGGTGCAGTTGGGAGTTTTCAGTTGGAGAATCTGATCACATAAGTAAGTCTGGTACAGTCACCACCTGAGGCTTGGAAGCTGAATTGATCCCAGAGGGTGACTCTTTCGCCTAGGAGAACACATAAAGAACTCTTTTGATAGGCTTGGTGGCCACAGTGGGACAAGCAGAATAGAGGGAATAGTAGACACAGTCCACAGCCTGTGGCTCAGGAATGGAGGCAAGAGATAAGGAGGAATGCAGGGTGGATCCCAGGGTTCTGGGTTCAGGAATGCCTTCCCACCCTCCCCCAGTCTGTGAGGCACCTGTGAGGAGGCATTGAATCCTGCAGCTTGAAGTGCCTGCAGCACCATCAGAAAGCGGTGCACTCCAGGCATTTGGCTGCTTCCAGAAGGGAAGTGTGTTTGTGAGTAAGCTTGCCCAGAGAGGTTGTGCCTGTGAAGAAGAGTGGGGGTTTGGAGGTGCACCATGGGGATCCCCAACATTAAGAGAAGAGTAGCCTGGAGACTGAAGGTGCAAACAAAGCAGGCGTGGGGAAGGCAGGGGTGTGGTTGGTAGTTTTGCTGTTTAAAGATGGAGAATGTGGTAAAGGGGGGAATTTCGAATTTGGCATCTGAATAGTTATTGATAGATCTATCAGTTAAATGGTGGAGGGGGATCCAGAGGCTGTGTTTATGAGGCAGTGGAGATTAGACTGGAGTTTAAAAAAAAAAAAAAAGAAGTCTATCTTCTCTCCACCCCACCCCCCAAAAAAAACTAGAAAAACAAGTAGCAGTTGACCTAGCAGAGATAAGAGAAGTGCCTTGAAGTGAGGCTGCCCACGGAGATGGCTCCTTCAGCTCCAGCTTTTGGGGGACAGTATATCCATCCCACAGTTGCTGGGTCGATCACATGGAACTAGGACTGAAACTCAGGGCCTCCTGCTCACTAGGCAGGTGCTCAACCACTGTGAGCCAGGCCCCCAGCCCTTTTGTTTTCAGTTTGTTTTTCAGATAAGGTCTCCAGCTGACTTTGTTGGCCTGTCTTCTAGTTTTTAAGGGAGGGCTAGAACCTTTTTTTTTTTTTTTAAATGTAAAATCTCTTGAGTTTTCAAAAGTTGGCAACTACTTTGAAACTTAATTTGCAAGTTTGTGTGATGGCGGTCAGCAGAATAAATCTCTGGAGAGGGCTGGCACGTGTCTGTTACCATGCTTGCAGGTGAGGGGAAGGAGAGAGGGTAGCTAGTGGGAGTTTAGGAGGAAAGGGGAGGGGACACATGGACCCCATTTTGAGCTGGCGTTCCTTTGGGGAACCAACTTTCCTAAGTTACAGGTCTGCAGGATCTACTGAGGGGCCAGGGGAGAAGGTGCTCACAGCCAGAGCTGGGAGGATAATGGCTTGGCAGAGAGGAAGGGCAGCTTTTGTCTGAGTGTCTGGAGAAGGAGATAATGGTGATTGCACATGCAAACTAGTTTGTCATTCCATGCCAGGGAAGAGGGGACTTGCAGGACTTGTGGAAGATGGGGAAGTTCAGGAGTGGCTGGTAAGGGAAGCAAAAGGGAGCTCACCTGGACACTGAAGATCAGGGACTCCGCCTCTGTGCCGCTGATGTGCTGGGCCTGCTAACTCCCTTGTGGAGGCTGTCCTGTGCTTTGCATCCCTGGCCTCAACCCATAGATACCAATAGCGCCCCTGCCCTTCCCAGTCCCGACAAGCAAAAATGTCTTTAGACATTGCCAGATTTCCGGGGGCAGGGCAGGAGCATGTCTGCCTTTCTCCCCCCTGAAATAGGACTGTGAGTGTCAATTGGACTTCAGAAACCTGTGTTGCAGTCTTTGTGGCTGCTAGTGGTGGTCCCTTTTTCTTCTGTGAGTAGGAACAGAGAAGATGAGCTATAGCTTAAACCAGATTTGTCAGGGTGGAGTGTGGTGGTACAATGGAGGGACAATGGGTGGGGGGGCTCATGGTATGGCCAGGGCAAGAGTATAGTCAAAGAGGGGTGCATCATGGCCCCAGATGGGATGGAGAAGTTGTCATTCTAATTGGGGGCTACACTGTATTTTCAAGATGGAGACTGCAGTAATACCTCCACCTTATGGTTGTTGGGGGGAAATCAAAGGTATTAATACATGTAAAATAGTGCTTTGTTATGGTGAATAGGAAGTGACCAATGAATTAGCTTACTAAAAAAAAGACCCAGAATTGGGGTAGGCTTAATCTAGGTGCTACATGCCATCACCAAGATTTATTTCTTGTATTTTCTCCACTTTGTCATCTGCTGTTCTCCCAGCAGAAAGAATTAATTTTTCCCATTGACACCTTATTTTTGTTGATGCAAAGCCTCATATGCCCATCCTTGTCGTATACTATAACTCATTTGATGCCCCCTGTTGGAGGAATCTTAGTTGTTGCCAGTTGGGTGCTATTTTTAAGAGACTTGGTCCCCTGGGCTTCTGAACCTGGGTTCTGGCTCTGACAGGCTGTATCCCAGTAAAAAGCAAGCATTACATAAATCCTTCCTTCTGGACCCTCTCCCAGGTGCTGTATCCATCTTCCTTCCTCCTTGACCTTCTGCGAGGTGTGACACACCGTGTCTTCCTCTCACCCCCACTTTCATTCTTCCTTTGGGGCTCTGGAGCAGTCTAGATTGCGGTCTTATTTTCTGAGCTTCTGGAGGGCTGAGCCCTCTGTCAGCAGAGGATGTTCCGTGTTCTTGGTGGGTAAAGTTGAGTGACTGCTTGGCACCTCTGGGGAAGGACTCCCTGTGGTTGAGTTCTGTTCTTCAAGATGAGTGCTTCCCCCTGCCTCAAGGCTCCCCCTTACCAGCACCCACTGCAGCTGATGCCAGTGTCATGACCCTGGCACCCGGTGGGTGGCAGCTGGTGTAAGATGATTTGACTTCTGAATTAGTCACCCTTGGATGAGCCATTTCACTCACAGCCGGAGTCTCAGCTGTTTTCTTAGTACCTCTGACCCAAACAAGCTCAAAGTGAATCCTGCAAACATTGCTTTTATCAAGTAAACCTGTGGCACTAGTGTTGTTTCATGGCATCTGTTTACCTCATCCACGTGCCAGCTCAATAAACTACCCTTGATTCTGAGATAACAGTTCTCTGTGTCCCGGGGACTTAAATAGTCACAAAGGAGAGAGGGGTCTTTTGAGTTTCTCCCTGGCCATGTCCTTCTGGTCCCTGCCTCCTCCTCTGATCAGATTGGTGTCATACAGACCTGGGCAGTTGCTGTAGCCTGTCCAGACCCAGCTGCTGGTCCTCCGGGGGGTCATTTGCTCTGGGGCTGCCTGAGGCCTCTGAAATAGCTTGGGCAGGCTGAATTCTGTGTTCAGAATTCTGTGACCCAGCTTTTCAGAACTGAAATAGCTACCTCTTGGCCTTGGCTGGCCAAACATTACCTGGCTAAGGACAACTGCTCATTGGGTGCTGTACTCCACTGGAGCATGGGGGGCGGGTAGTGGGCGGCCCCCTTCCTGCCTCAAGAGAGTTTATAACTTTCGGAAGGAAAGGTACTCTCCCCATGGAGCCTTCAGAACTAGGAACCAGGCTGACCTGGGGCTAAATCTTTGTTTCTAGCATTTTCCTGCCTGTGGCCAGGCAGGTTTATTCTGTAAAGTGGTGAATCAGAGGACCCTTGTCACGGTGCCCAGCCCAGCAGCTAGAGAAAGAGAAAAAGAAAAAAGGCAACTAAAAAGAAACTACCCAGCTTTGGAATGGGATTTGACTTCGTAGGGCTTTCTTCCTTTCTTTGTAAATGTCGGTGGTACCTCCCCTGATCTTCTGCAGCCTGCGGGAGGGAGGGAGGAGGCTGGGTCCTACCTGCCCTTTTCTCTATGTCTAGTTCAGTCCATATTGGAGGTCAGAATTCCTTTGAGGTGTCAACCTTGACCTTGTTGTGAACTGAAACTGAAGCTTAAATGGTATAGAATTACTTTTAGGTGAATCAGATGCCGAATCTGAGAATCACTACTTTAAGTCATTTATTTGAATCGCTGCAGACAGTCCCTGACTTATGGGCTCTGGCAGGTAACCCTTTCTTAAGTCACCTCATGGTAGGTGGAGGCACACCCGTATTTCCTACCTATGGGTAAGGCATTGTGCTAAGCACTGTGGGGAATACATGGCTCTGCTTTCAGGAGTTTCATTCCTTTTAGGTACAATAAGACCTGTTCACATCTTTTTGTAGGAAAATAAAGGAATATTTTACAGAGACGCTGTGTATACTCCATGTTACTTCTACAGTAGTAAACATGAGCTGTCTTTCTCCCCCACCCCCTCTTTGTTGCAGTGCTGGGGATTGAACCCATGGTCTTATGCATACTAGGCAGGTGCTCATCTACTTCACCTGCACCCCCAGCCCATGAGCTGTGATCCTTTATTGATTACTTACTCTCTTCTGCTGTGCTGGACACTTTAGACATTATCTGCTTTAAATCTTACGACAATCCACGAGGAACATTCTGTTTTCCTAAGAGTCCAAAAGCATTATGACTAATCAGGAGTGGAGCTAGAGATCCCCACCATAAAATGGAAGGGGGCAGGTAAAATAGCAGAGTTCTGGCTGTGCACAGTGGCACATGCCTGTGTGCCTGTAGCCCTAGCTACTTGGGAGGTTGAGGTGAGGTGATCACTTGAGCCCAGGAATTGGGGCCAGCCTGGGCAACACTGTGAGACCCTATCTTAAACAAAAACAAAAATCCTGAGGAAGAAAAGATAGCTTCTGTTTTGTGCAGTGGGACATAAAAAGATGGAGAAATGTTTATGGAAGCATGGGACTTGAGTTGGGACTTTAGCAGTAGGTGGGGTTTTGAGAGATGGAATGTAGGTTAAGAGTTTCAAGGGGGTGATCCTTCAATCTCCTTGTCTTTCAGAATTGAGTCACTGGTGTGTCCTTAGGCCACCATTGGCATGTGACTTCCACATGACCTGACTGTGACTGCAGTAGGAAAAGTTGACTTGGGTCGAAGATGGAGTCCAAGATTAGAAAGGAGGAGAACTAGGGACTGGAACAGAGGGAGATTTTCTGAACATGGGAATTCAGATAAGTCTTAAAGAATGGAGAATTTTGAGAGGACAGGATTGGGTCTTTGGGCGAGAAGAATATTAAGCCAGAGTTACCCTTATATTTCCAGAGCCTGAAAGAGCTGCTCTCAGGACCACCATGACAGTTCACTGGAGAGGCTGGTTGGGCCAGGATGGGTGGACAGTGAGCAGTTGGGGAAGTTGTAGGAAAGCCCAGGACCAAGACAGCTTTCCTGTGGCAGGTGTTCGTCTTCCTGTGATATAGCTAAGGTACCTATAGGCAGCCTCCCAGGGGCTAACTCACACTGGCTACCTGGCAGGGCTGGCCTCTGCACTGAATCAGAGTCATTTTCAGGACCTGCTTAAGTTAATTTGCTCATTTCATGCATTCCACCATCTTTAGGAAGGGCGTGCCATGTGCCAGACGTGGTGCTTGACAGAGGTGAACACATAGGCCTGATCCCTAGAGGTGTGACATCACAGCCCTTGGCTCCCATGTTTATGTGGTGGGTATAAGTTTCTTTTTATTATGCTTTTAACTTCATTATTTATTTCCTTGACAGACAAAGCCACAGACCCCAGCATGTCAGAACAGGATTGGTCAGCTATCCAGAATTTCTGTGAGCAGGTGAACACTGACCCCAATGGGTAAGGTCCCTTCACAGACACACCTGACTCTGAGGACACCCAGGATGAGCACAGGCCTTTGTCTCTTGGGACTGTTCCACACTTGGAATTTCCTTCATTCTTTTCTTTCCTCCACAATGTGTTTTTATAAAGTTAGCAAATTCGTGTGACTTTTTAAAAAAAAAAAAGTAGTTGTCTGCAACTGTTGCTATTTATTTGTGGTCCTGGGGATTGAACCTAGGGCCTCACACATGCTAAGCATCCACTCTACCACTCATTCACACCCCCAGCCCAGGAAAAGATTTTTTTTTTTTTTAAGTTTGTTTCCAGAGCTTGTCCATAAGAACAGATGAGTAGTCACTCACCCAGATGTTTGACTAGACTTTCTGTTATCCAGTTGTTCTGGAATGTGCCCAAAGCTTGGTTACACTTGCTGCTCACTGTTTACCCAGCAGTTATCTTGGGACAGATGGGGCCTGCACTGCTTTGACCTGGTTGCATGGGGTCTGGGCCCTGACTCCATGGCCTGGAGTTCTCTGGGTGGGTTGACCAAGAGGATGTTGATGTGGCCTGGGCAGGAGAGGACCTTGAGTGCTGTGGTGACAGCATGGGTAGGTAGGAGTCGGTCCTTGACAGCAGCTGTGCTTTGGCAAACTCCTGGAAAAGAGGCAACTTTACCTGCTTACACAGCCAGACCAATGAGGTTTTCCTTCCCACCCAGAGGTCTCTTTGTTTTTCCCTTAGGCCAACACACGCGCCCTGGCTATTGGCCCACAAGATCCAGTCTCCACAAGAGAAGGAAGCTCTTCATGCCTTGACAGTGAGTTTGGCTTGCCCCTTGGCCTCTTGGATGTCAGGGCAATCTGAAGGCTTCCCCTTCATAGGCCTTGGACAGCTGGCTAGAAAGAGCTCTGGGCCAGATCTGCTTCTAGAAAATAGCACTGAGAATGTTTTATTTCCACTTGTCCTTTGATCAGGGCCGGCAAGTAACAAGACAGGTAGCAGAAATGAGCAAAGCAGCCGGTGGGGCAACGGGCCATGTCTGCAGAGGGCAGCTGCCATGTGGGACTGCAGCCTGGAGACAGGCCTGACTTTGGGGCCCAGTGGTATTAGAACTTTTGGTTTTTTTCAAGGGAAGCCAGAAGTTCAGATTTTTACATGGATTCTCTGAGTATTTAAATGTTGGTGGGAGCAATTGTTCTATAAAATGAAATGTTGCTCAATTCTTTTTCTTTTTTGGCGGCAGTGGAGTTTGAACTCAGGACTTCATGCTTGCTACTCAGGCTGTTTACCATTTGCGCCGCTCTGCCAGCCCTGTTTTGTGATGGGTTCTTTTGAGATAGAGTCTTGTGAACTATTGGCCCAGCGCTAACTTTGAACCTCAATCCTCCTGATCTCTGCCTCCTGAGTAGCTAGGATTAGAGGTGTGAGCTCTGGTGCCCAGCAGTATTGCTCGGTTCTAGAATTAAGAATATCAAACCCCAGTAGAATTGAAAATAAAGCTAATTATGGACTGGAGGCTTGGCTCAAGTGGTAAAGCATTTGCCTAGCAAGTATGAGACCCTGAGTTCAAACCCCAGGACCAACAATAAAATAAGGTAAAGCCAATGAAGATCTTTGAACTAAAAAAGAAAGAAAAAAGTTGGAAGCCAGATGTGATGATGCACACCTGAAATCCTAGCATTCAGGAGGCTAAGCAGGACAATTAAGAGTTTGAGGCCAGCCTGTCCTAAAACAAAAAATGAACTTAACTGTTGGAAAACCACTGTGAGCTGGAGGGGTTCATGTACAGGCTCAGCTTGCTTTCTGAGTGCTGAGGGTAACCTCTGGTGGAGTTCTTGGGAATTAACATACCAGATTTCTCCTCCAGGAGGGGGTGATTCTCAAGTGCCACCTGCTCAGAGAGTCATCTTAACAGTTGGGGTGCATGCACCCTCCACTAAGCTATTTCCTGGGTACAGACATGGCATTCCACTGACATTCCACTGGGTATTAGCAGGTGCTCTCAGCTCGTGAGCCCTGGAGCCTCTGACTTTCCCTCATGGGGGGCATGTGTCTGCAGGTGCTGGAGATGTGTATGAACCACTGCGGGGAGAAGTTCCACAGTGAGGTGGCCAAGTTTCGCTTCCTGAATGAGCTCATCAAAGTGCTGTCCCCAAAGGTGAGCATCTGGACTTGGCCCTGCCCACTGGGTGGCACCTACCCCCAACCTTTGAACTCTTGTTGCCCCTGAGAATAGAGGCAGGCCCACAAGGGAAAGCTGTCTCTTTTCCAAGGCCTGGGAAGATAGTCCTGCATGTCAGTGACTCCTGCCCCTGCATTATTAGCATTTCCAAATTTCCCCTTGAAAATGGCATGATGTATTTTGGGACTGTGTGGCTGCAGGAGGTGAGGCACTCCAGCTGGGAGCCCAGGTTTCCTGGTAGAGGTGCTTAGAGCTGACCAGGTGTGATGAAGTTCCTCTTGCCTTTTGCCTTGTCCTCTGCACAGTTCCTTCTGACACCTGTCTTAGCCAAGCCGCTTTCAGCCTCCATCAAACCCTTTCTTGCTGTGAACCAGCAACAGTTCTGGGATACTTAACTGTGTGTTCTATAATTCAGATGATTTCTAACATTGCCTGGAGTTGCACCTTCCCCATACCCTATATGTAAAAGCCTGTCCTTCCTGGACTACCCATTTCAGGTGCCAGCCACAGCCTTGGTGTCCTCAAGTAAGCATTTCTGCATTGCCAACCACCAGTTGGGGATTTGCCCAACTGACCCCTCCTCCCAGGGTTCAGGATTCACCAGGGCCACATGCAGCACACAGGAAATCATTCTGCCTGCTACTACTAGTGCTTAATTAGAAAGGATGTGGCTGGAAGCAGCCCACACGCAGGGCTCGGTGTGGGGAAAGGACACTGCACCCTTGGCCTGGCTTGGGTCTGAGCCTGCTACTCTCCTGGCATGTTGGTGTGCTGACTGCCTAGCAAGTCTCTTGACTTCCTTGTTTTGGGTTTCTCTCAGATTGCGTTGTACCACTAGATGGGAATGTGGAAGTCACTGGCCGTGTGACTGAACTCTCTCCATTTCACTTCCCCACGTTCCCCCATCCCCTCCCAGAGGAGTATTCCATGGTCTTTCCAGAGTTGCCATTGCTCCCTTGAGACTGTTGAAGCCCCCACCATGAGTCAGTAATATAAACTCAGGTGTGGCCCAGTGGAGGTGCCTTTTCAATTTTTTGATTTTTTTTTGGGCGGGGGGGGGTCTTACTAGAGTTTGAACTCAGGGTCTTGAGTGGTAGGCAGGCACTCTACCACTTGAGCTACATCCCCAGCCTACGAGACACCTTTATCACTCAGGAAATTCCGTGGGTTTTTGAAACCGTGCTAGGAGGTGGGACAAAAATGAAAATAAATTTTTTATTCTATACTTGACTCAATCAAAAATGAATATGCCATAGATGTCACAGGGCTTTATCCTAGTCCTGCACGTGGTTAGTTTTAATTTTAGTGGTTTGGGAGATTAATTCCTTGAAATCCAGAGAGAGCTCAAGGCCGGGTGCCAGGTAGCTTGGCCTCCAGGTGTGTCTCACTCTGAGTCAGCCTGGGGCAGCTCACGTATCACCTCCATAGCACCTGATTGGCCAGGCGGTCTCCTCAGGTCCTTTGCACTTGCTCACTCTTTGTCTTTACTTTCAGTATCTGGGTGCTTGGGCCACAGAGAAAGTGAAGGGAAGAGTCATTGAGGTCCTCTTCAGTTGGACCGTGTGGTTCCCAGAAGACATCAAGATCCGAGACGCCTATCAGATGCTGAAGAAACAAGGTTTGACTGCTCACAAATGTTGTCTGACTTTTCCCTGATGATGTGCTTTTGGCACTTTTCTGTTTGCCCTGCCATTTGTGGAAAGATGGCCATTTTGTGCTTTCTAGGCAGAAACAGAGGTGAATGGTCTGTGCCTGCAGGTGGACCAACCTCTTCTGACCGGCAGTAGATAAGCAGGGTTTGAGACGTGTTGCACTGGGTGTCATCGCTATTCAACCTCCTGATTGCTTCACTGACATCTGGGTTTAGGCTGGGGACTGATTTACTGCAGCTTTTCTCAGGATCTACCTGGAGAGGCCTTCTTCCCTTGCTCTTCCTCTAACAGTAGGCAGTAGCTGCCTTGATCAGGAGGCTCATGCTGATATGTAGGACAGTCTGTTTTGATTCAGCCTCTGTCGCCAGCAGGCACTGTGTCCCTGGATGCTGATGTGGTCTGTCTTCAATCCTTCTCCACTCAGAGGACATGGTTCCTGGCCTACACAAGGCACACTGTGGTGTTCCACACCTCCCCAGGCAGTGTTAGAGCTTCTGATTTTGAAGGGGCTTCCAGCCTGATAAGCCCCTGAGAAGGAGCTCACTTTTCTAGTTTTGCAACCCTTAAAAGTCCTGCATCCTCTTGGTAGCTCAAGAGAATTGGTCTGTGGGCAGTCTTTAAACAACTTTAGCTGAGTGTTTCTTTTTTGAGACAGGGTCTTGCTGTGAAGCCCAGGTTGGCTCCAAACTGACAGTCCTCCTGCATGCTTAACCGAGTTACTCTTATTGGTGTTGGTTTTGGCTGCTCTGGGAAAACACTGTTTTGTCCTAGATTTCAAGTTAGTTGGTTGTTGTCCAGTGATGTCAGCTCTCTTATGGATTCAAGGACAGTTGTTGAACTGTAGGTTGCTCTTTTGGTGTTTTTGTCAGGGTGAGAGTTCGTGTTCCCACCTTTCCTTACTGGAAGATGTGAGTCAGAGTTCCCCTCACGTTAGACTCTTAAGAAGAAGGAATTGTCTTGTGCGCTTATTCAGCATTTTTGGGACCTCCCTGGGGACCCTGCAGTGATTTCTGTGCCTCGGGAGATTAGGTAGCTGCGTAAAGAGATCATTGTACAGCCCAAGGCCCGCAGAACAGCTTCTGCTTTGAGGTCCTGGTTTTCGGTGGTTCCTTGGATTCTTCCTGAGAGGTGATGCAGAGTCCAGTCACGCCAGGGAGTATCTGTGTGTTTTACTACTAGATGTGTTGCGGGGGTAGATGCTGAGGATGGAGTCCAGGTCTTGCTCAGGCTTGGCAGTGCTGTCCCACTGGCTGCATCTCCAGCCCTGGGGGTGTCTTTCTAAGGCTATTGATGTTTTCCTAGTGGAGTATCAGGAACCGGAGTGGTCTGGATTCCACTGAAGACACAAGGCACTGTATTTGTATCGTAACTTTGTACATTGTACATTTCAGGCATCATAAAGCAAGACCCTAAACTGCCAGTGGATAAAATCTTACCCCCACCTTCTCCCTGGCCCAAGAGCTCTATCTTTGATGCCGATGAAGAAAAGTCAAAGGTAAGAAACTCTCCCTGACCTTGGTGACTTGACTCAGAATGTCCTCTGATCGCTGGTGTGAGGAGATAAGAGTACTCAGTTCCCTCCTGGACCAGACTCTTAGGCGTGAGGTAATGGCAGGTCTGTGTAGATAATAACGTCTTGCTTTGTGCCATCTCCCTTGCCTGTACATGTGTTCCTGGGGGAAGGAAGGCTCAGGAGCACAGCCCACAGGGAGTGTGAGGCTGATAGGGCTGGTTCAGTATGTGTGGGATTGGGTGGGAGCGGTGGAATGGAACAGGATGTATGTTGGTGCACATCATTTCTAGTGTTCATAAACCTGACCCCACACTGCCCTCTCAGGATGGTTGGTCCTCAGCCATCAGCAAGGGAAGAGGAAGGTGGTTAAATCCTAGGCTAGGACCCTGGCAGAGCTCTCATGGCTGTGGGTGGGAATGTGGGGTTGCCCTTCGCCAATAGCAGTGACAATGTTTTTTGTAAGTGCAGAATCAGGAAGGCTCTGTGTACAGACGTATCTCTGCTTGTTAGCTCTCCTTCCAGCTGCACTCTCTCAGCGGTGCCCCTTCCTTAGGTCTAAATACTGAGTGGCCCGCAAGCCTCTGCTGGCGGAATGAGCAAGGCTGGTCTAGGGTCTGGGCTACCTTTCTCCCTGGCTCCTCTGTTGCTGGTGCCTTAGGTTTGCAGAGCATGAGAGGAGCTAGGGAGAGAGTGCAGGATGACTTCAAAGAAAGGTGGAAGCTGAGGCAGTGCAGTTCACCTTCTAATCTTCCAGTTCGTATTGACGGGCCCTGTGTGCCGGGTGTCCCGTGAGGCCTTGGGATGCAGTGACAGATTGGTGGTCTGTCCCATCATAGAGCATTCGGTCCTCAGCACTCTTGGCCTTTTTTTCCCTCCAGTGCTGAGGATGGAAGTTGGAGTCTTGTACATGCTAGAGAGGCACTCTACTGCTAAAGTACATCCCCAGCCCACTCTTGGCCTTTTGAACCTCTGTTGTGAGGTTGTCCACCCACTGGCTGCCAAGAGTGCTTCCACTTCAGTTGTGGCATCTGAAAATGTCTCCAGACTTTGTCAGATATCCCCTAAGGGATACAGTGCAAATCCTACTGGTTTAAAACCAGTGTTCTGTGGTGTGTCATAATACCCCTTTTGCATTGTTACTGTGGTGTTCTGGTAAGATAATGCATACTGAGTGTGTGCATTGCACTGGTGTTAAGTGTCCTGCAGCTGTGCTTCCTCTGGGGCGGGGGGATAGTTTCACACGCTCTTGTTCACGCTTTAGCTTCTGACGAGACTCCTGAAGAGTGACCACCCAGAAGATCTTCAGGCTGCCAACCGGCTCATCAAGAATCTGGTCAAGGAGGTATGCATTTAATTCCAGATGGTTCTGTAGAACCAGTATTGGAATTTGTGGGTGTTTGAGGGAGTTGAGGAACAGTGGGCTGGAAGAAGGGGTGGCCTCCTAGCCCTGAAGACCAGCATGTTAGTGACTAGAGCAGCGAGCAGCGAGACGCTGTGATTTCCAGCTCCTCATGTCCACGTGCTCAGAGCATCTTATACGCCGGTACTCTGTCCCTGTGATGTGTGTTGTTGTGGACAGAGTCCACGTTAAGGATTGGGCTGGCCCCCACGTTGCATTGTTGCCCTCAGGAGTTCCAGGCTTTGAATTTGTCTTCACCCACTCATTGAGCCCCTCATTCACTTAGAGTCTAGTGACTTACCTAAGCTCCAAACAGTGTAAGCACCTTTCTCACCCCTTGTCAGGCATCATAAGGAGCTTCTACCTTCACTTTCATTCTCTTCTTTCTCCTAAAAGGAGCAAGAAAAATCAGAAAAAGTGTCCAAGAGAGTCAGTGCGGTGGAGGAGGTGCGGAGCCACGTGAAGGTGCTGCAGGAGATGCTGAGCACTTACCAGGCCGGGCCAGGCTCCACCAGATCAGGAGGCCCTGCAGGTAACTCACAGGGACTGGAGGCCATGCCTCTCAGTGAAGTGTGTGTGATGCAGTTGGGCCTGTGTGAATTCAGGAAGCATCACAGTTAGGTAGTAAATGTGGCTCCTGCTCCCTGAATCTCCTCGTGGCCTTTCCTCTCCTCCCTGTCCTTCTGCCCCTAAGCAGCTACTGACTAACTTTCTGTTCTTGTGTAAATGGAATAATACAGTGTGTCTTAATTTTTTTCTGGCTTTTGTAACTTTGGCATTATTATTTGGGCTTTATTCACATTATTGTATGTGTCAATAGTTTTATTTCTTTTTCTTTTTTCTTTTTGGTGCAGTGCTGAGGTTCGAAACCAGGGTCTTGCACATGTTAGGCAGACACTCTGCCTCTGAGCTATATCCCTGCCTAGTTTATTCTGTTTATTACTGAGAACTAGTCTGTCATGTGGGTGTACTGTACACCATAATATGTATGTCTGTCATCTGTTGATGCATGTTTAAGTTGTTTTTTTGCTTTGGGTGATTATAAATTAAGCTGTAATAAGCAATTGTGTACAGAGCTGGAGGTGTGGCTCAAGCTGTAAAGCACCTACCTAGCAAGTGCAAAGCCCTGACTCCAAACCCCAGTACCGCCAAAAAAATAGAAAAAAAAGAAAAGCAGTAGTATACAGAATTTTTGTGAACATACTTCATTTCTCTTGGGAAAATGCCTAGGTATGAGATTCCTGGGTCATGTTCTCATCATAGAGTTAACTTTTTAAGACCCCAACAAACCATTTTCCTAAGAGCCTGCACCATATTACATTACTAACAGTGCTGTATAGCTTACATGTCCTGACATCAGTGTCCACTACTAGGGCTTGAACTCAGGGCCTTGCACTTGCTAGGTAGGCGCTTTAACACTTGAGCCATGCCCCAGCCCTTTTTGCTTTATTTTTCATGTAGGGGCTCTCCCTTTTTGCCTGGGGCCAGCCTTGAGCCATGCTCCTTCTACCTTCTCTTCCAGAGTAGCTAGGATCACAAATGGGCCACCATGCCCATCTTGTTTGTTGAGATGGGATCTCACTTAACTTTTTGCCCAAGTTGGCCTTTTAATTGCAGTCTTCCCAGTCTCTGCCTCCAGCAGAGATTATATGGGATTATATGCATGAGCCACCACAACCAGTGATAGCACCATTATTCAGATAATTAATGTATCATAAAAGTAGCCACCACCATTGTCTGATTTTTTAACATTTTAATCACCAATAAATGCAACCTTACATTTGTACAACCTTTTGTATAACGTAAGTTTAATTCTCCTTGGTATGTACCTAGTAGTGGAATGGCTAGGTCATACAGTGACTCTATTTTAACGTTGGGAGGAACTGCCAAACTGTTTTCCAAAATAACTGCACCATTTTACAGTTCCACTAGCAGCTTGCAAAGGGTTCTAGTTCTCCACATCCTCCCAACATATATTACAATCTTTTTTTTAATTACAGCTATGCTAGGTGTAAAGTGTATCTCATTGTGGTTTTATGTTTCCCTGGTGGCTTATGTTGAGCAGCCTTCCATGTGTTTCTTGGCCACTTAGATATCTTCTTTGGAGAAATGTCCATTCAGATCTTTTGCCCATCTTTGAATCGGGTTGTCTTCACTTTTGAATTCTTTAGAAGGGTTCTTTGTATATTCTGAATACAAATTTTTACCCACCCTGAGTTGTCTTTCTACTAACTTCATAGCTTTTTTTTTTTTTTTTTTTTGCAGTATTGGGGCCTTACACTTGCTAGCATGTTTTTGAAGCACTAAGTATTTTAATTTTAATGAAGTTTTTTTTTTTTTCTCTCGTGATGCTAGTGCCTTGTCCCAGAAACCAGCAGCTGGCACAATCAGGTGGTGGTAGGGCACTGAAGGTTTTATGAGGCTGCTGTACTCCTGGTCTCTCTTAAGCTCTGCAGCTCCCCCTGCAGATTAATCAGTGCGTTCCAGCTTTGGTTTCTCTGCACAGGAGAGAAGGCCTTCACCTAGCTCCTTTGTTTGGTTGTCCTTCCTTTTCACAAGATTGGCAGAAATGAAGTCTTTACTAATTCCAAATTTCCTGAGGGAAAAATCTGTGACCAGATTGGTTCACATATCTGTCCTGGCTCCATCAACCCTGACTGGGATTGGACAGAGTGAGGGAGAAACTTAACACGGACCTTCCTCTGGGTGGTGGGAACACGACCTGAAGTTTGCTGGGTTCCAGCCAGGCAGACACTCCAGGGCCCATGTCCTCCCATGGTAAGGGAGGACAGCTGTTGCCACCCAGCAGAGGAAGAGGAAGGAGGCCTGGCAGGTCAGGTTAGTTGGTGGAGCTCTTTTGAGGAAGGAAAGCATGAGCTGCACTTCCCCCGCAGCAGTAGGAAGAGGTGAAGCTGTGTGGAGCACTTTCCTGACATGAGGAAGATGGGGCTTCCCAGGTGTCACTGAGTGGGGTGGGTTAGTGCAAGGAGTGTCTTGTAAAGGGACTGAGGCATCAGACATCAGTTGATGGGAAGTTCCCACATGAGTAGTAAAGCAGGGAGTTCATCGCATTGTTAAAGCTGTTCTAGCCTAGGGCTGGAGAGAGGGGCCTAAGGAAGGGATGACACTATGCTCTGGAGATGATGGGGTCTTTTCCTGAAGACCCTTTGTCACCTTGTTTTATTTTAAAATATCATGCACACATAGCCCAAACCTTTTCTGAAACTGTCATGTTGCTTCAGACCTGTAGTCACAAATCTAGTGCAGTCCGAGGTGGCCTCATGTTGCTCCCTACTGCCGCATGCTTGAACAGAGGCACTGGCCCTTGTACTGGGGCCCAGGCGTGTATGGGAACCAAGCTTTGTCTTCCCAGGTCGTGTATGAAAGGTGCGAGAAGCTCCGGCCCACCCTGTTCCGGCTAGCAAGTGACACCACCGATGATGATGACGCACTCGGTAACAATGCTGTTTCCCCAAGTGCAGAACAGCTGTGGTCTTTCCTGCTTTGCCGCTGGAGGGCTAGGAACAAACAGTAGGGGTTTGGGTCTGTGGTGATTGGCCTAGGTTGAGTTAGAACTGACTTTCAGAAGAATCCGGGCTTGAGTAAGAAAGCAGCAGCAGATTCAAAAGCCTAGAAAGTTGTGGACATCCCCTAGAGATGAGGTGTGAGGCCAGTTTCAGGTCTAAGAAACACTGCAAGCCACTCCACCCCATCTTTTTATTTTTTTCTTGCATGAAAACAAGGTCTCTGAATCTCAAGTTCTTTGAATCTCAGTTTGCTGTTTGTATCCTCCCACAGGGATGTTGAATGTTTTTCTGTTACTGGTGTTTCTTACCATTACCACTTAGGTCAGGGCTGTATCAGATTCAGCTAGAGTTGGGAGAATGAGAATACGTTGTAGTTGACATGGTGGCACAAACCTGTAACCCCAGCACTTGGGAGGCAGAGGCAAGAGGATCTTGAATTCGAGGCCAGCCTGGGCTGTATAGGAGTCCTACCTCAAAAAAAAAAAAAAGAACAACAAAGAAAAAATACCAAAACAAAAAGCCAGTGGCTCACGCATATAATCCTAACTACTCAGGAGGCAGAGATCAGGAGGATCACAGTTTGAAGCCAGCCTGGGCAAATAGTTCATGAGACTTTTATCTCGAAAAAACCCATAACAGGAAAGGGTTGGTGGAGTGGCTCAAGGTGTAGGCTCTGAGTTCAAATCCCAGTACTGGAAACAAAACAAAAACAAAAAACCCCAAACCCAGAATACCTGACAGATGGTACCAGGTTGTCTGTCTGTGATGTTGCTAGTGTTTAATCCATCATCTTCTTAGCAATTGCCGTGCGCTCAAAGGTACTCAAATCTTACGTTTGCAAACGAGATGCCACATCAGTTCATTTGCTGCTGAGCTCCACCCCAGCTGGCAGCTTGCTGTCTCCTCCTAGCCAGAATATTCAAGGGAAACAAGTAGTAGGCTGCTACCAAAAAATCTTCAGTGCTTTGGCATGTGGGTGTTGCTGATCCGGCTCCTCCAGGAGAGTTTGGTTTGCAGGCACACCACACCATTAGATGCTCATGCCTTTGTGGAATCCAGTGTGTATTTTATACTTACCGCACATTTCAACTTTGATGCCAAGTTTCCTTGGAAATACTGGATCCGTACTTAAAATTTTATAAAATTTATAGACTGAAAAGCTGATTCATATACCAAGTTTTTCTCTTAATACTTAAAAGCTTTTCAATAACTGAATCCATTACTGAGAAATCTTTAAATTTTTAGATATTTGCATCCACTTTGACAAAATAGCTTTTTGCATTTTTTTTTTTTTTTAAATCAGGGTCTCATGTAGTCTAGGCTGTCCTCGAACTCACGATCTTCCCATGTCAGCCTCCTGAGTGCTGCGACCAGGTTTTAATTTTAGACTAAGGTCAAAAGTTTTTGTTCCTCACTGAAAGAGCCCATATTCAAGTGCTCACTGTCACCATCATGGTGAACAGTGCAGACATGGTGAAGAATTTGTTTTGTCTGTTGGGACTTGAGAGTATTAGGGCTGCTGGTTGAGTGATGAGGTCTGATGGGGCCTGATCACATGATGGGGCTTGGATGTGCAGAACTTAGTGGAGTCATGTGAAGGCTGCTTGTGGAATGGCTGTGAAAGAACTGAGGTGGTTAATGGCTAAGCGGGTGGCTCTGATTTTTCTCCTTCTTCAGCGGAGATTCTCCAGGCAAATGACCTCCTCACCCAGGGAGTTCTGCTGTACAAACAGGTGATGGAAGGCCGTGTCACCTTTGGGAACACAGTGACCAGCTCAGTGGGAGATATTCCTGTCTCCAGAGGTATGTGCTTAGAGCCACTTCCTGCCTTCTGACTTGGGCAGCCTGCAAGTCCCAGAGAAGAAATGGTGGTGTGGGTTATGGCACAGAAGTGAGACGTTGTCTCCTTTCTTGTGGATTGGGTTTCAAGTAACCGGTCTCTGTCTGTCTGCTGTGATGCACCTACTGCCTAGACCCCAGCGGTGGTTGCGCACTCAGGCAGGTGCTTGTGCTGTTCCTGGGTTTCAAATCCCCCATGAGTGCATACTTAACAGAAGCTGGGGACCAAAGAAAGAAAGAGTCTTTCTCAGTGCTTCAGCGCCAGAGTATTTCCCTAGCAGGTGCAAGGCCCTGGGTTCAATCCCCAGGATAAAAAAATAAATTAAATTGTATATTCTTTGGTCTCTGGCTTGGACTTTTGAACTTTCTGGGTCAAGACTGCTTGGACTCCTGTAATCCTAGCTTTGAGAGGTGGAGGTAAGAAGATTGCAGTCTGAGGCTGGTTCTGAGCAAAAGCACAAGACACTATCTGAAAAATAAGTAAAGGAAAAAAAGCTATGGGTGTGGTTCAAATGGTAGAGCACTTTCCTAGCAAGTGTAAGTCCCTGAGTTCAAATCCCAGTATTGCAAAAAGAAAAAGGAAAAAAAACTGCTTGGAGGTAGGCCTAGTATCTGTGTTTATGAAGCACTGTTGGTGATTCTGCTCAGGAGTGGTCAGAAACTTTTAAAAGCCTCTGAGCTGGAGAAGAGGCCTGAGTCCACTGTCCAGGCTGTAGGGCCTTGGGAGGAGGACTCTGATCCAGGTGGGCAGGTGGTCCTCTGGTCCGACACCAGTTGAGGGTGTGTCAGAACACCCAGCTGAGGTGGAAAGTGGGGGTATAATGTCTTCTGATCAGGAGAAGGTGGAGGACACTGGTAGGATTGAAGCAGAGCCTTTGCTCTCACATCTGACTAGGTCTCCTAACCTCATCCATTTTCTAGTCTTTCAGAATCCCACGGGTTGCATGAAGAACTGTCCCCTGATTGACTTGGAGGTGAATGGTGGATCGGGGCAGCCTGGGCTTGTGGCACCATCTTTGCTTCATCAGGACTTGGCAGCCTTAGGTGAGGCGTTTAGGAGGAGCAGACACCAAATGGTCCTGAGTAGGGAGACAAGAGCTAGGCTCTTTTAAGTGACTGGTGTACCAGGCAGCTCAGAAAAGCACATTGTGTGTTAGTGTCAGATTTGCCAGGTTTTGCCAGGTGGAGGTGCATCTCTTTCTGTTCATTTCTTTCAGGGATCAGTGATGCTCCTGTTATGAGCAAGGTAAGGAGGCTCTTCCTAGGGGCAAGAGAAGAGGGAGGGTCTCTCAAACCTTCCTGCCTGGAGTGGGGGTGACTCTCAGATACCTTGGAATCCAGAGATCACCTGGTGGACTTGGAGGTCCAGAGCTCTTCCTCATCCATTTTAGCTGGCTCAGACCCCCAGAGGGCAGCATCTTTTTCCTCTCCCTGTCCTCATTGGACGAAACTTCTGCTTCCTGAAAATCTGCCCAGAGGTTCTCTGTTGTGCCCTTTCTGTCTCTGCTCCTGGACATGTCCTAACCCTGGGCCACAGCAGCGTTGGCTGGGTCAGGCAGGCAGAACCATGGTGCTCTCACAGCAAACGGGCCTTCACACCCCAGCCTTATTTTAGCATTTCTGCTTCACAGGTTGCCAGTCAGAATTGCTGTAATAAAAAGAATCACACTGCCGGTGCCCTGCCAAGTGGCAGCATTCACAGCCCTCCTGCAGACCGGAACCTGTTGGATTTCCTCTCCCCACAGCCATCCCCCAGGACCCTGTGAGTCTTCTGGGTTAGGGAAGCAGCAGAGCCCAGCTGTGCATGCTTGGCCAGGACATCCTAAAGGGCTTTTAAGGATTAGCAGACAGTAGACAGTGGTGATGGTTTTGATGCTTATCTGTTTAACCTGGTTGCCATGTAATTTGAAGTTTAGCAAGACTTGATCACTATAGAGCTCCTAAACACCACTCCCTAAAACAGTGCTGAATGTTCCTTCTCTGCTTTTTGTGTACATGTAGCAATGCATTATTGAGGTTTACTTTTATGCCAGTGAGGTCATGCTTTATGAACTGTACTCCAACATGACTTTTTTATGGCACATTCTGTCTTTGAGACATTGCCATATCGGTTTATATGTTTTTACCTCACTTTCTTTATTAGCTACATTATAATTCACTGTAGGTGTCTTGTGGGTATTGTGTAGTTGTGTGTGTGTATTTTTCCCTTCCTCATCTTGTTCTTCAGAAAGCTCAATCACACATTCCTGAAATTCTCTATAGCGTGTGCTAGTCTGATGTTTTTTGTTTCTTTGTAGGAATTATGTTCCTCAGAAAAGTATCCCCAAGGAAGTGCCACCAGGCACCAAGTCCTCTCCAGGCTGGTCTTGGGAGGCTGGCCCCCTGGCTCCTTCCCCAGCTTCACAGAACACTCCTCTGGCTCAAGTGTTTGTCCCTTTGGAGTCTGTGAAGCCAAGTAAGTGCAGCTGTATCGTTTCTTCTTTCTCCACTACACTCTGGCTTTCCCCCTCTACATATAGTAGGGGTGGCCCTTCAACATGGGAAGATGAGTGATGAGTTTGCCTGAGGGCAGAGGGTAAGAAGCGATTTTAATGTCTTCTAGCTAAAAGCCTCTGTGTCTTAGGATTGTCACTGTGAAAGACACTGGCAGGCAGAATTTAACGGGGGCTGAAGTCTACTTACGGACATGATGTCCATTTGGAATTCAAGTAGGAATGTTTCACCTGGCCTGCAGTCGCTGAGAAAACGTAGAATTCAAGAGAGAGGAAGGATTTGGCTAGTGATACTTCTTCCTAGGGATCCTCATTAAATTAGAGAAGTGGGTGTTCGCCTGTTACAGAGAGAAGGAAACAAAAGGCCCAGCCAGTTAAGGTGACAGTCTGTGGTCAGTGCAGCCGGAAACCGCCTCCTTATGTGGAGGTGGGTGTGGGGAAGTTAGTGTGCAGAGGATCCTGAAACCAGACAGGAGTGTAGACATAGTTCATAAGTAGCAGTGCTCTTTACACATTTTTTTTTTTTTTTTGGAGAGAGTAAAGATTTATTAGGATAGCATTAAAAGGCCCACACATTTGCTTGATTAAATTTTGATTGAAAAAATCATGCATGTTCAGGGCTGAAGGAGTGGCTCAAGTGGTAGAGCGCCTGCCTAGCAAAGAGTGAGACCCCAAAAAAAGGACTGGTGGAGTGGCTTGAGGTGTAGGCCTTGAGTTCAAGCCCCAGTACTGACAAAAAGAAAAAAAAAAAAATGCTTGTTCAAGGTTAATTACAGTTTTAGTTATTACACCAGTTGTATGAAATGTTTATATTTGGGAAAGGGGGTGATAGAAGTGTGGAAATTCTTTGTTAATTTTGTAACTTTTTTAAGCCTGAAATAATTATAAAGCAAAGTTTAAAACCAAAAGGTTACAAGCAAAAACATGTTCAATGTAGGGTTTTTTTCTTTCTTTCTTTCTTTTTTTTTTTTTGTGGTACTGGGGCTTGAACTCAAGGCCTATACACCTTGAGCCACTCCACCAGCCCTTTTTTGTGATGGGTTTTTTCTAGATAGGGTCTCACGAACTATTTACCTGGGCTGGCTTCAAACCGCAGTCCTCCTGATCTCTGCTTCCTGGGTAGCTGGGATTACAGGAGTGAGCCACTGGACCCTGACCCGACTCAGCGTAGAGTTTTGTTCTTTTTTCTTCAAGGACTGGAGATTGAATCCAGGGCTTGCACACTCTACACAGCTGTCCACCCCTTGAGCCACGCCCCAGCCTGGTCTTTACATTGTTTTAGATGTGGTTTTACTTAACCATTTTATGTGTATGTGTGCGGTACTGGGGCTTGAACTCTTCTTCACACTTGCTGGGAAGGCACACTACCACTTGAGTCTCTCTGCCAGTTCTTTGTTTTTGTTTTTTGAGCAGTCTTACTATGTAAGATCCTCCTGCCGCAGCCACCCAAGTGCTGGAATTATAGGTGTACACCATCATGCTCAGCTTAAAGACTTGGTTTTTAATCACTCATATATTATTAAATACTTGTGTCATGATTCATAGATTTAATCCTTTTCACAAGGATAATTTGTTTCTGTTTGTTTGCTGTTAAAAACAGTGACATAATCAACATCTTGGATACTCTTTATACTTTCCTGATTTTGAGGCTATTTTTTTTTCCTTTTAGTTTAGGCTACATTGTTGGGGTTTTGTTGTTGGTGGTTTTGCTTTTTTAGTGGTACTGGGGTTTGAACTTAGGGCCTCACACTTGCTAGGCAGACACGCTTGCATTTGAGCCATGGTTCTAGTAGGCTGTATTCTTAGAAGTAGTGAACTGCTGGGGTAGACATTTAAAATTTTGATCTGCATTTCCAATTTCCTCGGAAGGCTACCCTTTCCTGATACTCTCACCATACCTGATTGGTACTTCCAGTCTTTTAAATCCCTGGCACTTTCATAAACTGTACTTTTATAATGTGCTTTTTTTTTTTTTTTTTTTTTTTTTTTTTTTTGGTGAGACTGAGGTTTGAACTCAGGGCTTCACACTTAACAAAGCAGGTGCTCTACTACTTAAGCCACATGTTAGTCCATTTTGCTCTGGTGGTCTTTGGAGATGGGGTCTCTCAAGCTGTTTGCCTGGGTTGGCTTCAAACTGAGATTAGCCTATCTCAGCTTCCTAGGTAACTAGGATTACAGGCATTAGCCACTGGTACCCGGCCACATAATTTTTTTAACTGATGTTTGGCAGAAGATCAGGATTTATAATTTTTTTTTTTGGTGGTGGTGGTACTGAAGTTTGACCTCGTGGCCTTTCATTCACTAGGCAGGTGCTCTACCACTTGAGATCTGCCCAACACCCTTTTTGCTTTAGTTATTTTTGAGATGTGGCCTTGTATTTTTGCCTGGACTGGCTCAAATAAAATAAACTTATTTGTACTGTTTATTTCTGGGTGGAATAAAGGATGTTGTTTAATTTCATTGTTTGAAATAAAATTCTTTCATATTCTGTGTTTTTTAGCGTTCATGCAATATTGTCACCATAATCCTAGCTTCCTCAAAAAAGCCTGGTAGTGCTAGGTGCTGGTGGCTCACACCTGTAATCCTAGCTACTCCAGAGGCAGAGATCAGGAGGATTGAGGTTCAAAGCCAGCCCAGACAACAAAAGCAAGACTTTATCTCAAAAATACCCAACACACACACACACTCACACATGTATACATACACACACACTCTCACATACACACATACAAACACACACACACACACACACACACACAGGACTGATGGAGAGGTTCAAGTGGTAGAGTGCCTGCCTAGCAAGTGTGAGGCCCTGAGTTCAAACCCCAGTACCACAAAAAATAAAATAAATAAAAGCCTGGTAGTGTGGGTAGGATGGTTTTTGGTGGGGAAGTCAGCTTAAGAGAGGTTCTTGGATAGCACTGGTGATAATGTCCACTTGGCACTCAAGCCTCACTCTCTTGGGAGTTTGTGGTCCTGCTAACCCTGTTGCTTGGGTCCTTCTCTGCCAGGTAGCCTGCCTCCTATTATCGTGTATGACCGGAATGGCTTCAGAATTCTGCTCCACTTCTCTCAGACGGGAGCCCCTGGCCACCCAGAGGTGCAGGTGCTACTCTTGACCATGATGAGCACTGCTGCCCAGCCTGTCTGGGACATTATGTTTCAAGTGGCTGTGCCAAAGGTGAGTCTTCTGCTACTGGCCAGCTTCTTTGAAGTTTTTAGTAATGGTGATCATTTCTGAGCACCAAAATTCTTTCCTGGGACATAATTTGCTAGGTGTAAGAGGCAGAATCTTTATTCAGACTAGTTGGATTTTGGGAGGTTATTGGGTCACTTAATTGGGGATTCTTGAATATCTGACTTCAGATATGAGTTAATCCAGGAGGTTTTAAATGATTCCTTAAGAATCTCTTTCCATGTCTTGACTACACGTTCCTCTTTGGGACTGTTCTCAGACAGTCTCTTTACAGAGCAGGGATCATATGGATTATATGATCCTTTACCTTTTTTAGTCACAGAAATTCAAAGCCAGACATGGTGGTACATGCCTATAGTCCCAGCTACTCAGAAGGCTGAAGCAGGAGGATTGCCTGAACCCAAGAGTTCAGGGCCAGCCTGGGCAACAGTAGCAAGACCCCATCTCTTTAAAAAGTGAAACAGAAACTCACCTGGCATGAGCTGTGCATATAGACTACTAAGAAAGGGCTCTGATTGGTCTCGTTTATGCTGCTTGCTTACCGTAGGCCACTAACTTGTGTCTTAGGACACGCACTCCGGAGGGAGTTGGCCAATTTGGCGTAATGTGTTCAGCCTTTCAGAGGAAGCTGGGCCCTGCTGATGAGCAGCCAGACCACAGTCACGGGGAAGGGCAGATCCTGAAGGGCAAAGATCCAAGACAGAAGTAAAGACACGCATTCTGTAAGGCTCGTGGTAGTCTTGTGGAGTGTGTTATGGATGGTTTTCTAAAAACCAAAGGCTGGAAGGTAGATATTTTGTCCAAGGTCACGTAACTAGTAAGAGACAGTGTGAGAATTCAGCCCAAGACAGGCCCTAGCTTTTTATGTGGCCTGTCAGATGCAAAGGTTGACCACATGTTGGGGTGTTGTGTGTGGGGGAGGAAAGGCCGTTTGGACTCCTTCATGTATTAGTGGGACTGTTTGCGAGGGCTCCCATGGGTGCACTGAGGTGTTCCGCCATCAGAGAAACCCGCTTCTTCTCTGAGGGGTGGTGTGGAGTCTTAACTTCTGTCAGCCTGTGCTCCCTCCAGAAGTGGGAGCTTGGTGGTGATGAGTTACATGTCGAGTTCCCTCTGGTAGTCAATGCGAGTGAAGCTGCAGCCTGCATCCAGCTCCAAGCTCCCTGCATTCAGCCCATTGGTACCTCCAGCTGTGATATCTCAGATGCTGCTGCTCGACAATCCACACAAAGTACGTCTCGTGTCTTTGGTAACAGGCAAGGGGACCCCTGTACTGTAGGGAGAAGAGAAACACATTGAGGCTTGGCTCTTAAGTTGATCTGGGATGAGGGTGGAACAGCTCTTGCTGGAATTTGTCTTTGGGGTGTGTTAGAAGGTGTGTGATGGCAGTAGCTGGGAACCAAGGGAGGGAAATATAAATGTCTGACTTCTGGAGTCCTCTAAAAGCAGCAGCCTGTCTTCCTGATGCAGCCATGTGGACAGCTCCTAGGACCTACACCTGGCTCCCCTAATGAGCATAGCCTCACAGAGGCGAGCTCAGCATGTCTCTGTCACACAGTAACTTGAAGCCCTCATAGGAGATTGGCAGAGGGCTGTTCATGGTAGACTCGTGGAGGTGAAGGCATGTACTCAACTGGCTCTGTGTGGTTCCCTCTAGTTTAACATCTTGTATCTCTTACATCGCAGGAGCCTATCCGGTTACGGTATAAACTGACGTTCAACCAAGGTGGACAGCCTTTCAGCGAAGTGGGAGAAGTGAAAGACTTTCCGGACCTGGCTGTCTTGGGGGCAGCCTAACTTCACAGACAGACCCTTTGAGTTCAATTTAGGCCAATGTTCCTTTCGCTGTTAGTCAGGACTAATCACAGTGATTTAGTGCAGAGTGCCAAGAGTACTTCTGACGCTGGGCTCTCAATGCCAACCTCTACCTGTTCTGCAGATGCTGTGTGTGTCTGTGTGTGTGTGTGTTGTCGGGGGTGGGGGGGAGGGCAATGTGGGAGTGCCGAAGCATTTTTGATGACCATCTCTGCCACATCCTATCTGCCTCTGCACGTTGGTGGACACTGATGTCCCTGCCTCAGGTTGGAGGTTTTCTAAGCCAAAGTTTTTTTCATGTATTGTTATCTTTTCACTCATCCACTCTGTGCCTTGTCAGCCTTTGAAAGTCGTGTTTGCTCCCAGGCTGCTGTTCTCAGGGACCTTCCAAGGGACCTGGTTGGTCTTGGGGTAGAGAGGGTCCTCTGGGCACTCTCTTTCAAGGAAGACCTTGTCTCCATCTTCATGAGGGAATGCTACTTGCCTGTGTTCAGAAAGATGTGAATGGAACACTTGCTGCACTGTCCAGGCGAGGGGCTGCTGTGAGACCAGAAGACTACACTCAGCAGTGTCATGTCCTTCACCACGTGCCTTAGGATCACCCTTAGATGCCCCTCTGAGGAGAGGGAGAGCCGAGGCCAGCCTTGGGCGGGCCTCTGGCTTGTGGGTTGCGCAGCCTGTCCGGGCCCTTACTCAGGACTCCATGTCCATCCTCATCCTTTCTCTACAGGTGTCCCCTCTGTGCTCTTTGACTGTGACCCCATGGTAGTCATTGTAAATCTCAGCTGGCAATCAACCCTTGCCTGTTGACCTCACAATTAAAGATGGAGAGCTGTGGTGCGGATAGATAGGAAAAGAGCTTAGCAATGATTTAGGTGGGGACTAGATACAGGACATCATTGAATAAATACGGTGTAGCAAATCTGCTTTGTGGAGTGTTGAGTGAGTAGGAGATGCAGAGCCAATTGCATTTAGAGGTGACAGGCTGAGAGAAGCTGTCCTTTGTTGGAAGAGCAGAGCCCTGAAGATCTGAAGAAAGCTGTAGAGGAGAGCCAGGTATCTGTTACCTTATAATCTGAAGGGGAAACTCAGGTTTATAATTCGCTTATTCATAAGTGAGCACCTACTGCGTGCTGTGCATGCTAATGTACATGTGTTTAACAGGTCCTGCTCAGTGGTAGAAGGAAGCTGAGCCTGGCTGGGATGGGCTGGTGGAGGGCTGTGAGGTTCCAGCAGCCAGCTGTCTGGGTGGATTCTACCTCAAACTTGCAAGGCTGTTAGGAGCTCTTACTTGTGAGATCTGGCACTCTTTCATTCTGGTCTTCTGATTTGTACATGAAGTTGGAACTATGCCCGCATTAATTGGTGGGAATGGGAGCTGTAATGATTATCAAGGCATGCTAATTTGTAAGCAAGTGTGAAAATTCATAAAACAGATAAATAATGGGGTGACTTCTTCATTTTTCATTAATCCTGTAAGACTAACTTTAGCCCCAAGTTACTTTGATGCTTAAGTGTTCTGCATAGCTCTTTTGGGCTCTGTAGCTGTCCCATAAAGTCTTTAAGTGTTAGCCACCATAACAGTGCCTACCCAAGAAGATCTTCTGTGAAAATGCATGAGTGAGATGTACACATGAAGAGGTGGGCTTTTTAACCTGTATTGTAAGGTGAACTCCTGTACATGCTGGAATGTCATTGTTTTCCAAAAGAAATTAGTATTCTGCTACGTGGAGTTGGTCAGAATAAGGATGAGAGGAGACAAGGAAGGTACGTAGCTGTCATGAAAGTGTCCCTGATTTTTGTCACAACTGCCTTCTGATCACCAAATTCAGAGACCACGTAGAGCCCAACCCTTATCCCTTCTTCCATAATAACCCTGAGCCAGGCACTGTTGTACTGGACATCGTTGTGATGAAAGCTCCTGCCTTCCTGGATCTTCTGGTCATCTGGAGAAATGAGATCATGATGTGTCAGCTAGAGACTTGGCACAGGAGGCCAGTGTTCTCCCCTGAACGCTCTGGGATTCTCTTCACCTTTGTTTTTTCTCCTCCTTCCAAGAGGTTTTGCTCTGTAGCCCAGGCTGGTCTTGAGCTCAAGATCCCCCCCTGCATCTGCCTCCTGAGTGCAGGGATTACAGGTGCTCACCACTATGCTTAGCTTGGCTTTACTGACCTATTTCTGTCCCTTAAATGTGCCCTGTTCCCTCCTGCCTAATTGTTACACTGAGCCTGGCAATCAAGCTGTCAAGCAGCTAGCTAGGTCCTGGCCTCCATCTCAAGCCTTGCCTCTTGCTGATGCCATATAGTTCAGGCACTTAGTGGGTGTCTTTTTCCGGAGGCTCCACTATTGCTTCAAACTCAGAATTCTTAGAAACTACCCCCCTTCCTTGTTTCCATACTTACTTGAAATCACCTGAGGTGTGGTGGATCCTCATTCCTGCTCCATCTAAATCCACTTAGAATTCTGCCTCATGTCTGTTGTCTTAAGTACCATCTTGTGTTGTCTCCACATTGACTTGACTTCTTCATGAGCTTGGGATTTTGGGGGGTGGCAGGGAGGGGGCAGTGCAGTAGCCTGCCTCCCAATTCTGATCTCTGCTTCACAACCAGAATTCTCTAGCCAATCTAAGCATTAGCTTCTAAAAAAATCTGGCTGGTTTCCAAAGCCTAAGTGGCTATGGGATTAGATTGAGATTGCTTGCATTGGCATTCAGTGTCCCTACTCATCTGGTGTCACCTGCTGAGGATGGAGCTTACTTTCTGGAGCCATGGTAAAGCCCTTTCAGGTTCTGGTAGTGCCATGTTTTTGCCTATTCTTTTGACTACCTGTGCAGTTCATTCCTTTTCCTGTATGTCTTCACAACATGACATGACTAAAATCCCACATTAGGCTGGGGATGGATAGATGGAGTTCAGTGTTAGAACACTGAGATGCTAGTTCAGTCCCCAGAACTGAAAACAATAGCCAAAAAACCCACCTTCCCTGGGCCAGTGGCTCATGCCTGCAATCCTAGCTACTTGGGAGGCTGAGATCAGAAGGCTAGCCTGGGCAAATAGTTCATTTGTGAGACCCCTATCTCTAAAAAGTAACCACAGCAAAATGGATTGGAGGTGTGGCTCAAGTGATGGAGTGCCTGCTTTGTAAGAATGAAGCTCTGTGTTCAAACCCCAGCCTCATGGGAAAAAAAAAATTCAGAATGCTTGCTATGTACTTTTTTTTTTTTTCCTTAAAAGTATAGCCTGTTGTTTTCACCTAGAGTGAGGTACAAACATGTAGGACACAGCAGGAAGTGTCCTCAGGTGAGCCAGGCTCTGAGGTATCTAAGGTTCATTAAAGTTTCATTTTAACTAATGAAAATTCAGGCTTCTTGTTCCCTTTCCCTAGTGCACTGTCAGTTATACCATGTTCATTCTGAGAAAGCTTGTGTTCTAGGAAGTAGGAATATTCTTTTATTCTTGAGAAGAATACGTGTCTCATTCCACTGACAACTTTACAAGTTGAGATAACAGTTAGGAAGGCTTCTAAATTTGGAGGCCAGAAGCCCTAGCAGTTGGAAATAACTGTCAATCCTTGGCTGTAATTTTGTTGTTCATTGCCTCTAGCTAGCCAT